CACTGTCGAGTGTGTAACCTTCTTGACATTGCATGCTACCACTTTGTCCACTGTTGGATCCTGAACGCTCTGTCCCTTAGCACGCCATGGTTGCTGCACTGAAGTGCGCTGTAGTGAAGCAGGTAAAGTCCCAGATGGGATCAGCCTGGCCCCTGGGGAACTCCCCCTCCTTATCAAGGTGCCCATCATTAGGTTACCTGGGCCTGACGTCTTTGTACTAATTTCTTTCAGTCACACCCAGACATACCTTCCACTAAGCCTAGTGAGTGAGAAGCTTTGAAGCTGTAAAGCTGTGTCCTGGGGCCAGTCAAAATAAGCTGCTTTTTTTCTCTTGAGAGTGAATTAAGTTTATAAATTTTTTATTAGCGATATTCATAGGTACATGAAAAATTAATATACTTAAAACAATATATCCAAAACATGGAAAAAATATCTGTCTGTTCAAGTTAGTTCTGTATTTTTTAGGAGTCTCTAAACATTTTTCTTAGAAGTTTTATGTTTTGTCAAATGTATGCTTAAATATTTTACTATAATTTGCTGTATAAATTATGTCTTCCACTTCATCTTCTAACCAGTATTTATTTGGATATGTTGGTTCCCCCTCCCCCATATATGGCACTCATATGTGTCCTCATACCAGTCTTAGCTTTTTTCCACTTATTCAAATTCAAATTCCACTAGTCATATATCTGCTAATATGATTTTCATAAAACTTTCTTGCTTGAATAAAATACTGCTTATAACCTGCAGGCTATGTTTGTAATCTTTTTAGCACTTACCATACCTTTGTATTCTTTTTTTTATTTTTTATTTATTTTTTGACAGAGTGGACAGTGAGAGAGACAGAGAGAAAGGTCTTCCTTTGCCGTTGGTTCACCCTCCAATGGCCGCTGTGGCCAGCGCACCGCGCTGATCCGATGGCAGGAGCCAGGTACTTCTCCTGGTCTCCCATGGGGTGCAGGGCCCAAGCACTTGGGACATCCTCCACTGCACTCCCTGGCCACAGCAGAGAGCTGGCCTGGAAGAGGGGCAACCGGGACAGAATCCGGCGCCCTGACCGGGACTAGAACCCGGTGTGCCAGCGCCGCAAGGCGGAGGATTAGCCTAGTGAGCCGCGTTGCAGGTCACCTTTGTATTCTAATTGTATATTCATTTTAAAAGCCTTTTCATTGTTTAAACATAGAAACATTTCTTATTTATGCTCACTTTTCTGTCATGTTAAGTCCTTTTGTTTCATGTGGTAGAGAGTTAAATAATAGTTATAAAGTTGAATTGATTTACAAAAAGAAATACAGAAATAGTTTCTTGGGTGATTGCTATATTCATAATGCATTCCAAAATTGATGTTTGGTCATACATGAAAGAATATGAAATATCCCTCAATATGAGTATTTAGAAGAATGATTATGTTGCATCAAAAATATTAAATTAGAAACCTCATGAAAAAACATGACTGTATTATATTTTCCCCTTGATTACCATTATGTATATAGAAATTTGCTGATTAAAAAAAAATCTTAGATTGAGTTGAAGGAGGCTTTAAGACACTCGGTAGCTCTGCAGCATTCTCTTTTTCCAACACATTCACATCCAATGAGTTATTGTAGATATTTATCAGGTGAAGCTCAAGTTTTATACACCGTAATTTGCTGGATTCCATAGTATAAATTCAGTACTATAGGGATTAACCTGCTTTTGGGAAGTCCCAATTTCCTCTTTGTCTATTTATAATTAAGTTTTTCTGTAAAGTTTTATTTTACTAGAAGACGTTGCCTTTATATGCACACACAGATATATATATAAAATATATATATATATAAAGGAATAATAAAACTTTTATTTTAGTGATTAAGATTATCCTGAATTATAATGAATTGAGATTGAAGTTGAGATTGAATTTTTACACAGGAGTAAAATATCTTGTAATAAAATGTTATTTATATTTGAAGAACTTTTAAAGATATACCTAGTCTTAATATACTAATTTCTTCTAGTAAATTTATTTTCTTCAGATGGTTCCATTATTTAGTCTACTCTTTAGGGCACTGTTAAAAACAAATTTGCACATTAGCAAACAAAAACATTAGAAGATCTTAACAAAGCAGCAGTTAACATTTTCATCCTGAATTAAGATGACTAATGGTAATCGGTCAAGATGACTAATGTTGCCAGCGCCACGGCTCAATAGGCTAATCCTCCGCCTGCGGCACCAGCACACGGGGTTCTAGTCCCGGTTCCCCTCTTCCTGGCCAGCTCTCTGCTGTGGCCCAGGAGTGCAGTGGAGGATGGCCCAAGTGCTTGGGCCCTGCACCCCATGGGAGACCAGGAGAAGCACTGGCTCCTGGCTTCGGATCAGCGCGGTGCGCCCGCCGCAGCAGCAATTGGGGGGTGACCCAACGGCAAAGGAAGACCTTTCTCTCTGTCTCTCTCACTGTCCACTCTGCCTGTCCAAAAACAAACAAACAAAAACAAAAAAAAAACAACAAAAAAACACCTAATGTTAATCTTAATCAACTGTACCCAAGGAAGCAGGTAGTACTTGGGTCAATCACCAGATTCAAGATTAACCTTAAGAGGAGCAGATAAGCTTTCTCTAAGTGTGGTCCGCAGATCTGAAATTTTTGACATGAGGATTGAAACACACTAGGGTGATCGTGCTGCACGTTATAGTGTGGCAGACTTTGAGCTAAAGTAGCTAAAGTAGACTTTGAGCTAAAGCTAACTTGGTGCTGATTGAACATTGCTTTTCCAATTGTTATTTTCAAGAATTATGGAACTTGCTCAGGTCTCATTTATATTAGTGGGATCCATTAGAAAACAAGGTCATTATAGTCCAATAATGTTTTTACAGGCAACACCACCAAGATTTGTGGAGCTGAATGACATCATCTAATTTCACATATTAGAGTGGAAGACGGAGAAAATGGAATAACTGTGTGTTATCAGCATATAATAAAAATAGAATTGGTCTTGGCTCTGCCAGGTAAATCTCAAGGTGGATCCAAATTGGTCTGGCTACTGCCAGGTAGATCCAAAGACACTGTTTTTTTTTTTTTTTTTTTCCCCTCATTTTGTTCTAACACAACCTCTCTCTTTTCACATTTCCTTAAATACAGCATTGAACAGCTAATTGAAAATTCTGGCATATACTTCCGACTAATGATGTGTATCATTGAGTCAGGCTTCAATTATTTCTCCTTCTTGGTGATCCTAAGTAACTTAGTTACTTCCTGGTAAAGTACAGGAAAAATATGCTCTGTGTACAGAAAATAGTGTGGGATATGGAGTTGGGAGACCTTAGTTTAAGTCCTGTTTAGCAAATTCAAAAGTCACTAATACTGTTTATTGTTGTTAATTACGGAATTCTTTTGTTAAAATAAAATGTACTACTAAAATCCATTGTAAAAATGTTAATGAAATACTTAGGAAAAGTTTAGAGCAGTATATACACTACTTGTGTCATTTTAAATTATTATTAAATATACTATATTTTAATAAATCATTGATTCATATTTTTTTCCAGGATGGATTTGGTGGTTTCAAAAGGCCTAATAAAAAGGAAAAAAAAATATAAAAGGAAAAAAGGAGAACATGCAGGCTAGCAGAGTGTACTACTGTTCATAGACTAGTGAACTCGGACATTGAGAGCATATCTTCCATCATATCTTTCAAAGCTGCCTTCAGACAGTTGCCTCCTGGGGAGACAACTCTTACAGCACTGCAAAAATTCTTTTTTGGGTGTTTGTGGGACATCTGGTTGTATCTGGGATGGACTCTAAATGCAGGCTGAGGGATCTCATGGCTTTGGTTTGCCTTTCATTCCCTCTTGTGTCTCTTGTTGGAAGGATAGTGTTAGCCAACATTTTAATGAATAAACCAAAACTATATTTTCAAAAGTCTTCAAGGGGTAAGAAAAATACATGAAGGATATCTGTTTGGAAAACTTGCTAGAAGATGTACAGTGAGGAGCATATAAAACAACCTTAAGAATAATTATCAATTAAAGGTTAATAGAGGGTAACTAGGGATGGAGGCGTGTGTTCACACTAAGATCACTTCTTCAAATGGGACATTCCTTCATTGTAGTGACAGATTATTAAAAATGGATGGAGCTAGAATGCTTTAGCACAAGGTAAATTGGGCTGAATCTCCAGGATATATGCATAGAGCTCATTGACACTCAGTCTTCACTCTGTTAGATGAAATAAATGAAAACGGTAGTATGAGGTTTAGACAAGCAAAGGTAATAAACTGAAATGAGATAGGGTTGATGGTCATAGCTATTTTGAAATTGAAGTGAGTTGATTGAATCCTACATGAAGAGAAAGGGAGAAGGAAGGAAAAATAAAGACCCACTACTTAGAAATGACCCAATGAGGAAAGAGGCTCAGTATCATTAATGGGGGTTAGGATAGGTATAGACTGGGATTTGAACTCTATTTCCTTTCTGGATTTGATAGTTTTTAACTTCTTGGAGGGTGGACTTGTGGGTTACATATTTCCAATTTGTAAGTGGAAAATCTCCCATGAGCCTTAGTGTGGGGGTCAGTGTTCGTGTTGTTTAATGAGATGACATGATGCATGTAGGTAACATTTTCAGATGTTTAACATTTGCAGAAGTGACGGGAAAATGGGTTTTTGGAGGAAAGTGGAAAGAAAAGGAAAGCATGAGAGCAAGGAAAGAGAACACATCGCCTCATATGCCTTTAGGTTACAGGGCAGCATTTCTCAGTCTTGGCATGCAACTCAGTAGGTCTGTAGGGGCCTAAGAATTTGCATTTCTATCAAGTTCCCAGATTTTTGTTTATGCAACTAGTTTGAGGACTTAATTTATGGATAGAGACCAGGAAAGACAGCTACTATTTCTGGTATCACCTGATCACTTTTTTTTTTCATTCACCAAATCTAAAATAATTTTTAAGCCTTTATCAAAGACCTTGAACTACAAGTTGAGACTTGAAGGTGAACAGAAAGGATTAGCTATTCTCATACATGGAGAACTGAGCAGTTCTTCGACTCCATAGCTTGGCTGTTCTTTTGCAGAACCTTGCATAGTAATAAGTGATGTTATGGGTAGCCATAGTACAAGAGACTTCTTTGTGATGTAGAGTAGAATGGTATGCTTGGGAGATAAACTGCACATTCCTCTGTGTGAAGCCTCAGTCTCCTGCCAGAACTGTAAGTACTGTCTTCTCCCTTTTCTGGCATGGCAATAGAATGAATTCAGCTACAATGAATAAGGATCCTGAACAACAGCAGATTAATAAAAAGTCTGTAGTGGATGGTTTGCTAGCGTTGGTTCAGTGGTCAGTGAAGTGAGAACTGCTTTCTGTACAATTCTCATGACCTTTCCCTATGGTAACACCTGCTTTGCTTTCAGAAAGTCAATGTCCTATAGATGTCTATTAATTCTACTTGTTCTTGATTGGCAACTAGGTAGAGAGTGATCCTGTTCTTCTTGGCTGCACAGTAGAGCTTCCTTCATACTGACCTAAGGCCTGGGGAAAGTGAGGGATGTGAGCATATCCATGGCTCAAATGCTTCAGGCACTGGAGGCTCTTCTGAGATACAGTAGATTTTCTTGGATACATGTTTTACATTTGCTATATACCCTTATGGCAGTTCAGAGACTACAACTACTTAATATCTTATAGCAGGTGTATGGTTGCATCACTGGTGAGAGGGTCCACTGGCCTTACTTGTCATTCTGGAGGTTGATCTGCTTTATGTATGTCTTAATTCTTAGAGTATCCTTTTATTCTTTTATATCAATTAAGTACATTAGAGGGGCCAGCGCTATGGCACAGCAGGTTAATGCCCTGGCCTGAAGCACTGGCATTGAATATGGGTGCTGGTTGGAGACCCGGCTGCTCCACTTCCGATCTTGCTCTCTGCTATGGCCTGGAAAAGCAGTAGAAGATGGCCCAAACCCTTGGGTCCCTGTGCTCCTGGCTCCTGGCTTTGGATCACACAGTTTTGGCCAACTGGGGAGTGAACCATTGGATGGAAGACCCCTCTCTCTCTCTCTGCCTCTCCTCTCTCTGTAACTCTGACTTTAAAATTTTTTTTAAAAAAGTACATTAGAGTGGGATCAATGAAATTATAGATAAGAAGTTAATTATTTCAAAGTTGGTGAGAGAAATCATCTTACCAAAACATTGTTTAAACAAGTGATTAAAAAGTTCTTGTAACAAATATGGTTTTTGATAACAAAGTTTTACCGTTGATGACTTGGGGCTGGCTCTGTGGCGTAGTGGGCTAAACCACCATGTGTGGTGCTGGCATCCCATATGGGCACTGGTTCGTGTCCTGGCTGCTCTTCCAATCCAATGCTCTGCTATGGAGAGCAGTGGAAGATGGCTCAAGTGCTTGGGCTCCTGCACTCACATGGGAGACTAATAAGAAGATACTGCCTTCGGATTGGTACAGCTCTGGCCTTTGCCGCCATCTGGGGAGTGAATCAGCTGTTGGAAGACCTCTCTCTCTCTATCCCTCTCCCTGTCTGTAACTCTGCCTCTCAAATCTTTTGTTTTTTTAAAGTCAATGACTCCTGTAGCTGTTAAAAGAAACATTTCACTTTTTCATCTTAGTAAATATATTTAGGAAAAAACAATTTCATGGTTACATGATAAACTTTCACTAAATTTTGTGGCAAATAATATGCAAACAAAATTATCATTCCCTTCATTTTTCATTTTCAACAAAGGTGATTAATAATATGCATTGTCACAAACTTATTTCTGAAGCTCTTAAAATTTCTATCAGTTGCTATTAAACATGGCCTGTGAATTTCAACAAGACTGAATAAAAAGCTAGAGTTCAATAATTTTTTTGAGCTGGTTTTGAAGTGGTGAATGACACAAATGAAAGTAATATATTTGCATATAATTCTTGGGGCAATTTCATATTCAAAGTTCAGTTTCATTAAATATAATAACACACTAAATCTTCCACATAGCCCTGCTGCATGAGATTTCCTAAAGAAAATTCAGTTGCAATAAGTACACTTGTTTTAGTCAACACCAAATCAGCACTCAGAATGAGTAGGACATGGCAATAAAAAACTTCTAACTTATTGGAGCAGTTGCAGTGTTATTTAATATGTTACAACCCTTGTGAGCTGATGTAGGATAGTCTGATCACTGTGACCAGGGAGAGGGGTGTGCTGGACTTTCATTGTTTACAGGGAGCTTGCAGGGCTGTTGTCAAGTTATATACTTCAGAAGGCCAAGGTAGTGTCTTTTACTACGTGGGTGCTCTACAGACTGATAGCTCTCCCTAACTACTCCTGCTCCCGCAATACTCTTGGCATTCACAGTCAAACTCAGGAGAGTTATACTGTAAAGTTAACAGGCAAGTTGTTGGTCAGAGCAGAAAGAAAACATGGGATGAAACTAAAGATTAAGGGAAAGCTGTGCCAAACTCATTCTCCCTCATCAACAGGATTTCCTGATGAAGTCAAGTTGGGATTTTGGGGCTGACATCGTGGCCCAGAGGGTTAAGCCACTGCCTGTGATGTTGTCATCCCATATGAGCACCAGTATGGGCTGCTCTGCCTCTGGTCCAGCTCTCTGCTAATGTGCCTGGGAAAGCAGTGGAAGATGGCCTTAGTGCCTGGACTACTGCACCCACTGGGGAGACTTGGAAGAAGCTCCAGACTCCTGGCTTCATCCTGGACAACTCCTGGCTGTTGAAACCCTCTGGACAGTGGACAGTGAACCAGCAAGTGGAAGACTTCTGTATGTGTGTCTCTGTCTCTCTGCGTCCCCAACCCCCTTAATTCAGCTTTTCAAAAAAAATTTTTTTTTTTTTTGACAGGCAGAGTGGACAGTGAGAGAGAGAGACAGAGAGAAAGGTCTTCCTTGGCCGTTGGTTCATCCTCCAATGGTCGCTGCGGCTGGCGCGCGGCGGCCGGCACACCACGCTGATCCGATGGCAGGAGCCAGGTACTTCTCCTGGTCTCCCATGGGGTGCAGGGCCCAAGTACTTGGGCCATCCTTCACTCCCTGGCCATAGCAGAGAGCTGGCCTGGAAGAGGGGCAACCTGGACTAGAACCCGGTGTGCCAGCGCCGCAAGGCGGAGGATTAGCCTAGTGAGCCGTGGCGCCGGCCCTATAAGTTATATTTCAAAGTAGTATAATCCTTGGGTTAGAATGTGGCAACTCCATTCCATTCTTGACGATTTAGCTTTGTATGAATGCTGCACATAAAGGAGGTGGAGACACATTAGATGATGGCCATCTCTCTTTCAGTCTTTTTTTGGCTTTCATATCCATGTTAAGATGTTAAGTATGTCAAGATTCTCAAAATCAGCTGTCTTGTCCACACTTAGAATAATTTAACTAAATATTTGATAAAAGAAACAAATACTGAAGTCTATTCACTTTCCTGAATAAAAGTGCCATTATTCTTGGTAACTTCAATCCACATTTCATTAGTTGTTTTTGCTGGTGGTTTTGATTTTTTTTTTTTTTTTTGCAGCACTTTGATTTCAAGAAGGTGTTCCATTACTGTTTCAATTTTTTTTTAAGGTTTATCTTATTTATTTGAAAGGCAGAGTTAGAGAAGGAGAGACACAGAGACAGATCTTCTATCAGTTGGTTCACACCACAAATGACTGCAATGGCCTTGGCTTGCCCTGGCCAAAGCCAGGAGCCTCTTTAGGGTCTCTGATGTGGTTACAGGGGCCCAAGCACATGCGCCATCTTCCAGGCACATTAGCAGGGAGCTGAATCAGAAGTGGAACAGCCAGGACTCAAAACCAGTTCCCTTCCTGGGTGCTGGTGTTGCAGGCGGTAGCTTTTACCTGCTTTGTTACAACTTGTGTGCCACAACACTGGCCTCACACTTTCTGTCTTGTAGTCACTGTCTCAGTCTGCTCCAGTTGTATAACAAAATTCCATGTATTTCTCACAGCTCTGGGGGCCTGAGATCTATGATCAAGATGCTGGCACATTTGGTCCCTGGTGAGAAATCTGCCTTTATGCTGTGTCCTCAGTGTACAGAGGAAGCTCTGAAGGCCACTAATCCCGTCAAGGGGACCCCACCTTCGTGACCACCTCTGAATCTAAAAGGTTCATTTCCTAATAAGGCATTGGGGACTAGGGTTTCCTCATATGAATTTTTGTGGGGTGAAAACGTTCATCTAACAGCCATAAATCCATAGGTGGATACATTCTGTATGAGAGGACAAGGACAGCCAAGCATTAGAAGTTACAGTTGGAAAACCCAGACACCCTGACTGTTGTACATCTGAGCATTTGCTCTTACCATTGAGACATTTCTTCAAAGAGGGGGTGGGTTAATCTTACTCGTTCAGAAACACCAATCATAGCATCTGTTTTTGCTAAAGTCTTCCTTGCTGCTAAAGTCTTCCTTGCTATGCCAGGAGGCATAGCAGTGTTTGTACAAATAGAATGCCTGGAACTCTATCTAGCTCTCATAATGTCTAGGCTCTGCCACCCCAGATTTTTAAGTTATAAACAAGAAAGAAAGTATGTGTCATAATAAAGGTTCTTCTTGCTTTAAGAGTCCAGAGATTACCTTTAACTGGAGAATTGTGGGGCTTTTTTTTCTTAAGTTCTTAAATTTTTGAGAGCTGGAACTATAGAGGTCTTCCTTCCATCTGCTGGTTCACTCCTCAAATGGTTGCAACAGCCAGAGCTAAGCTGATCTGGAGCCAGGAGCTTCTTCCATATCTCCTATGTGGGTACAGAGGCCCAAGCACTTGGGTCACCTTCTATTGCTTTCTCAGGCTATATGCAGAGAGCTGAATAAGAAGAGGAGCAGCTGGCACTCGAACCAGTGCGCATATGGGATGACAGCACCACAAGTAGCGGCTTCACCTACTATGCCACTGTGCCAGTCCCTATGGGGTGTTTCATACAAAGACTTGAACAGCATGATTTTGTCATGAGATGTGGCACATGGAGTTGCAGAGAGGGAATGATAGCAAAGCAAATTAGCAGATGGAGAAAATGTGAAGTTGGAGAGAGAACTGGCCCATTTGTATTTAGCTAAGGTGGGTTGAATTCAGAATGCTAAAGAATTAATTTTTAATGATGAGTAATCAGAGGATTTGGGGAGAGGATGTGATGAATACTGGGGGCTTTCAACATTGTACAGCTTTTATTTCTCAGGCCATAGACCGCTTCCACGTATTTTTCAGAGCTTTGATT